TTTATATCTAACTTTTATAGTATATAAAATTTTATTTACTAATTTCAAATTGGTCTTAACTCAAGCATGAACTAATAGAAATGGGTATTCCTGTTGCTAAAATATATGCCGCTTCAGATTAATCTTTGAAAAAACAAAAAAAATTTTTGGTAAAGTTGTAGCAGGAATAACTAAAATTTTGTAGATAACACCTGAAAAGTTTATTGAAAGTCTAAAATTTCGTAAATTTTTGAATAATGTATCTCAAACATGCGGCGTACAATTCATTATTGATGAGTCTCATTGTGTTCTAGAATTTGAATATTTTAGGTTAGTATTATACTGAATTTTTTTTTTAAAAAAAATTCATATTATTAAAAAAAAATACTTATAGACCTGCGTGGACCAAATTGGGACAAATAAAAAATGAATTTTCACTTTCACCAATTCTATTATTGACGGCAACTTGCTCTTATGAAGGTGCATCAAAACTTGCTATAATTTTAAAAAGACCTAATTTGAAAGAAATTCGAAGTTCTCAGATATATCAACCTCAGTTAGTATTCGAAACTTAGTCAAAACCATCAAAAAAAAGATATAATAGAGATAGTTCATAAAAATATAGAACAGAATCATGAAGGTCGAGTGATTATATATATGTCAACACCTAATGAATGCATAGAAATTTTTAATGGCCTTAAGAAATATGTAGATTCTAATCATCTTGGTATATATTATGGAAAAATGTATAGTGCAGACCAAAAAATAACTCTAAGTTCATAGAACCAACAAAAATTAAAATACATAGTTGCTACGAATGCTTTCGGTATAGGAGTTCACATGTCAGATGTTCAAATCATTATTTATGTTACTTTTTTACTATCATTAACAAATTTTGTACAAGAAGTTGGTTGAGCTAGTAGAAATGGACAACAAGCTAAAAGTATAGTTTTATATTCATGTTCTGATATTCGTAAGTTGTTGTTGATTGTTAGTAGAAAAATTAAAAGGTAAAGTATAAATAAATATCGTAAAAAGAAAACTTGCAAATCTTATAAGATTTGCAAGTTTTTTCTTTGTAGCACTCAAATATGTAACAAGTTATAGATTAATAAATATGCTTTTATTTTTCAGTACTAATGAAATACAACTAGTTCAATATAACTACTTGGAAAGAATGAAAAAAAAAATATTTGCAATAGCTTATACTTTTGAAGATTCTTACCAATGTCATCAAAAAATGGCATATGAGCCATTTAGATGGCCTAAAGACCCTGAAATTTCTAAGTGTGATATTTGTGATAACTGTAAAAGATACATCGATAATAAGATTATTTGGTGTGATATTAGTGAAGACTTACTTCAGATTTTAGATACGGTGGATAAGCTAGTAAATTTCACAAATGATCTGACAACACCATTAGTAAATTTTGGGCATGATGATATTGTAGACATTTTTACAAGAGCCAAAAACAAAAATGCTAAAGAAAAAAACTTAACTTCTTTATGGGAAAATGATAGTGACAAATAGAGTTCTGCAATTTGATTTGATTTGATTTGATTTGATCAAATATTTGATCTCAAATCAAATTCAAATACAGAAATTTCAAATCAAATCAAATTCAAATTGACAAAATATTCGATTCGATTTGAAAATACTTAATAAAAATTACAAATATATTTGATTTGATTTGATTTGATTATATATATAATTAAATAAAATAAGAACTCTTTCCGTTGATCCTTTGTACCAAATTTAGTTTTAAATAAAAACATTAAATTTCGCAAAAACAAGTCAACAAACAGCCAAAAACTTTCTAAGGAAAAAGAAGACTTGGCATAATACAAATAAACTCTCTTAGAAGCAAACAGTATATTTCTTTAGTAAATTTTGCAATAAATAGGAATTTTAGAAAATTTTTACAACTTCCGATACAAAAAGTGAGAATTTGGCAAACCCCTGACAAACAGATCACTAATTGTTACACCAAAACAACAAACAGTGACATGTAATCCTTTTAGTATAAACAAATAAACAAAGCTACAAGTAAACAAACAATACAAGTAGACAAACAAACAACACAAATAAGTCGCATAATAAAATATATAGACATTGAGACAAAGATGACTAGAATAGCAAACTTAAAGAATTTTTACAACAATTCAGAGAAGCAAATTGAGGAAGTATACAAAGAACAAAAATTTATAACTCTCAAGATAGACAAAGATATAGCAAGTTATATAGAAGCATCTCATCCAGAACAAATTGGTATAATACGAGTATTACTAGACAGCTACAAATAAGTTCAAAGCAAAAGATGTGATGGAAAAGAAATAACAGAAGTAGAGGCACAACTTATAAGAGAAGTTCCAATAGAAATCGCTTCTAACCAAGCTATGAGCCAACTCACAGAAATGAATTTAGATACAAAACTTCCAGCCTCGGTATTTGGAAAGAGAGTATATAATGAAGATATTCAAGGCAGCACAGTTGCAAAAAAGAAAGAAACAAGTTATATCAAAAATGCAGAATTGAATTTCAATGAAAGTGATAGGGAATTGCTAATGCAATGTCATAATCAAAACGAGGATTACAAATTTTTATTAATATTCTCAGAATGCAAAACACCAGATCATGGTACAGAGGATACAGCAAAACTAATTTCTCTAGTTAAAAGTTTCAACAATATGAATATAAAGACGAAACAGCAAATAAATACCGATAAAGAGCAGAATATAGAAAAACAACCTAACTACAAAAAAGAAGTCCATGAAGTCTTTAAAGAATTGAAAGAAGAGAAAGACATATATAGCTCAATATGGGCATCTGAAAATTTATTGACCCAAAACAAGCATTTAGTCAATAAAACTGAATATTATAAAGAGAAAAGAAACCTAGAGTTGTACTCTACAATTTGGGACTTACCTTTTGGAGTAAATTTGGCAAGAATCAAAAGATACTTCAATCAATACAGAAGAGTAGAATTACTAGAATGGTGCACTTTAAAAAGATCAGTAGTAGCATACATAAAGATCACTTGTAGAAGCGAAGAACAGAAGCTAAATTTGCAAAATGCTTGGGCTATACATTTTGAAGAAGGCAAGACAAGTAGAATTACAACAAGTAGATTTGATGTTAAGAAGAAAAAAGTACAGATTGATGCTTAGAAGCATTCCTAACCTGGCATCTGAATTAGTTCTGTTGAGACAACTAAGAAGGTTCAAAGCAAAAATGGTGTTTAAGCTCACTAATAGAAATAATAATCCAAGTAAGAATGCTCTAGTTTATTTTGCGATATTAGAGGACCTCAAAACAGCAAAGGCCTCTGTACCATATTATTTTTATAACAGACTAGAGTGGAGTGGAAACAAGCATCACAAATTTGATGAAGATAATAGCTTCAAAGAAAATCGAAATATAAATAATACAAGTGGAATTTACCATAATCAATACTTAAAAAACCAAGAAGTGTATTGTGGGCAAAACCTCAAAAGGAGAAGATCTCCTAGTAACAACAATATTAGACAAAAAAAAATTATAAATGAAAACTTCAGATCCCGCAGTAATACAAGAAAGCCACTTAGAAGACAATAGATTAAATAGACAGAATCACTTACTGAATAAAGCAGCAACTGGGGTAAATAAAATTGAACTAGGTAATGCAAAAGGAAAGAAAACTGAAAGGAAAGAATTAAGAAATATTGCCTCTAATGACTTAGAACTCCAAGGCAGTATCCTAGAGCAAATTCTAAACAGACTCCAAAAAATCGAAGAAAAATAGAGGGCCTTAGGCCCCAATCTTTCCTAAAAGACGCCACAGGCGTATTAATAGAATTAAACAAGCAAAACAGCTTGTCAGGGCAATTACCACTTAAGATAACTACAAATGCCCTAAACTGTGAATTAAATTGTGAATTAAAGTTAGCATGTCATAATATCAACAGACTTAAATCGAACAATCATAAGCTCTTACATTTAGTAGATTGGGCAAAAGGAAAAAAAATAGATATTATAGGAATTATAGAAACAAACATTTCAGATAGAGAAGGTCATTTTATTCTTGAATTTGAGAGCCCATTTAAAGGTTATTGGTCAAGCTCATGCCCTAACAAGAAGAAAGGTTCAGGAGTAGAAGTCCTTATTGGAGAAAAAATCCACAAATTTACAGAAAATATCAAAAAACACAATGAATACCTATTAGAGCTTCACATAATATTAAAATATTTAAAGTTAGTGGTATTAATTGTATATCTTCCACCAAATGATGAAAATCAAATCAAGCTAATTCAACAACAAATTGAAAAAATATATCTCAACAGGGCATTAAATTATGAGGTAATAATTATGGGAAACTTCAACTATATAATGACACTAGAGCTTGATAAACAGAGCCTTAGTAACAAAGTTATACACAAAAAGCTTCCTTTATATGAATGGATATTAAGTCAGAAATTTGTAGATAGCTTTCGTTATTTAAATCCTGATTCACAAGCTTACACATGGTCAAATAGTAATACAGCTACACGGATCGACCAAATTTGGATTTCTGAAGGTGTAGTGGAAAATCTATATAATGCAGAAATTCTAGATATGGACTGTATAACAGGAAGTGACCACAACACAACTTTAGTTAGCTTAAACAGCGAAAGTAATATGCAGAACCAAGCTCATAATACTACTAAGGCTAA